AAAGCCTCACGTTTGGCCCTGAGATCAGCAGGGACTTGCAGGAGACCTGTCTCAAGAGCTCGGCGATGGGACATCCTCTTTGCTGAGAGGTCTTTTTTCCACTGGGAGGTCTCATTGGACATCAATTTTTCCTGGGAGCATCAGCACAAGAAGCGGGGAGTGCACCCTGCTGTGCTCGTTAGCTTTCGGAGCTGCTTCTCCTTGTGGTACGAGAGCTGCTTCTCGATCAACTCCGAACATGACCGGAGAGTGAGTGTCAATCTCAATGAACCACTGCATTTGGGTGTGGGTTCATTGTATTTCAATAGGGAGACCACCAACCAATAGGTTTGGTCTATTTTCTTTCTTCCAGTCTTGGTCTGTTAATACTCACCCATCTTTGAGTACGATCCAAATTCTGTCCAAAAATCCTCCAGAGTCTTCTGGTGAGTCCGTTGCTCTAGTTTACTCAGGCGAGCTGCGGTTCAGGTAAACCGATTCAGGCAACCTGGCTGCCGAGACCACCAAAAGGGCAGTGTCCAAAGTGAACCGCTTTGCGTAGACAAAGCAATCCGAATTGATTTGCACAGCACCTCCTCTATTGGTCCTTTATCTTGGGTGCCTCATTCTTTCTCTGATGCATCACCTCATGGATTGATGTTGCAAAAAGCCAGTCCTCGGAGGGCTCCGGAGGTTTTTGGGGTTCCCTCCTGCCGCAGCGGCGGTCGGTCAAAGCAACGTCGCCCAAAGGACACGCAGCTGTTCCGTCGGAAACTCCTGAGGACACGCAGCTGCCAGAAACGCTGGAGCATCTGACCTTGGGCCAATCCTTTGATGAGAGCTTAGAGGGTGTGGACTGGCCCAAGAAGCTGAAGAGCCCCGGGCGGCGCCGAAAGATTTTTTCCTTTTCGACGCATTCCGTCGCATGCGCTTGAGCCGCAACCGTGCGACCCGACCAAAACGAGGTGACCTGAAGTTCGGAAGACCCTTTCCTTTGGTGGTGCCCAAAATCGACCACATGGACCATACAGTATAGGGAAGAGGTGGATGTTTTGTCTTGTATTTTTTTTTCGTCCCTGTGAAGTGAAGATCCTTCAAAAGTCTGAACTCCGGGCCCAGATTGCTGGCGATTGCTGGCGATCTGGGTCGATTCCAAGATGTTTTCAGGTGTTTCTTCGTTGGTGTTATTTCTTCTTTGGTCCTAGGCCGGCCAGGCCATTCCCAGGCCTCCAAAGACCGCTGTCTCATCTCTCAGGAGCTTGAGGTTTGGGCACAAGTTCAACCAGAGCCTCCTGGAGACGACCTTACCAGAGGAGCTTCAGGCGCACCCGCCCCCAGCGGTTCCGGTGGATCGCGAGCGCGGGCTCCACCGAGTCCGTCCGGGAAAGCCGGACGGTGGGTTCTGCGGCTCCTCGTTCGCGGTTCCGGTCGAAAGCTGTAGACGGTGGAGGAGTACAACCCAATGGTTGGAGATGTAAAACTATTTGGGTTTAGGGTTTAGGATTTCGATGGTGTTTGGGGATGGAACATGGTGAGAAGGCGAACGACCCCAAACCTCTGCAGGAGTTGGTTCCTCACCAGCCTTCTTCTGGATGAGTTTATGAAGTGACCCTCGTCTGTCAGATCGTTTGGGTTTGTCTCCACCATTTTCCCGCAGGGTTCCATTTTCGCTCGCCCTCCCCCCAGCCGCTGTTCAGGAGCTGTCGTTTGGGCATTGCTTTAACCAGAGTTTGGAGGGTGTGACGCTTCCGGAGACTTTACTGAGCTTGAGCTTCGGGTACAACTTCAATCAGCCCTTGGAGGAGGTGAACTTCCCCAAAGAGTTACAGCACTTGAGCTTTGGCCATGAGTTTAATCAAACTCTTCAAGGTGTGAGGCTCCCAGATGGTCTGCTGAGCTTGACCTTGGGGTACAAGTTCAATCTCCCCTTTCGCGGGGTGAAGATGCCCGAGAACCTGCAGAGCCTGACCTTCAGCTATGACTTTGATCAAGAGTTGACAGGCGACAACACCCTGCCCGAGAGCCTCCGGAGCTTGGTGTGGCCCGGCTCCAAGAAGTCGGGGAAAAAAGACGTCAGGGCTGTCCGTTCTGTCGTCGGCCGCAAGGGGGGGAGGTTCTTGATCCAAAGCGGTCGAGGAAGATCACTTAAGGCAGACTACCCGACTCATTTTTGGGAGGTTCTCCCACTTGACCAACAGGGGACCCCCGATGCTTGGGGATGGTTGCAGGATGTTGCAGGACGCAGTCAGCCACTCCTGGAGCCATGTCAGCTCCACCCCGGTCAACCCCAGATGAAGTCCAGAAATTCAGGCTGTATGCGTACAGCCTGGAGGAGATCTACGTGGAACCTGACCATGTGCATCCATGTGCTAATTGGTGGGTCCATTTCAATATATGTTCAATGATCGTCTTCCCAAAAGGTCGCTCAGGGCATGGGTTTCGGTCACTCGGGTTTAATCTCTCTTCGATCCTTTCCTCGAACACGTGGGACTCATGACCCCCCGCTGCACAACCAGTACTGTACTTGACCACCTCGAACCTTCCCGCGGTGCCGCGGTCCCTCCAAGGGTTCCACCGTTCGCCCAGTCACGGTGACACCGTGGGAGAACGAACGTCCCCAGGTTCGGCTACAGCTTCAACCGCCGCTTGGAGTTCGTGACCTTCCCACCGAGATTGGAGGTCCTGAGCTTCGGTAGTAGCTTTGAGCCTGGGACCGTTGAATGATGGAGGGACAGCACCGTCCGACGCGGCGACAGCACGGGGGCGAGTGGAACTGAACACATGTGCGCTTCAATGCACGAAGCATGTCATGGATATTCATGGATGGCACTTGTGTAAACATCGAATGAAACAAGGTACGTATGGGCCTGAAGCCGTTTCGGGCCTTCGGACGTGAAGACGGAGAATCGACGGAGTGGAGATTGGGGGGATTGGAAGCCAAAAGCAAAAAGGCCATGAGAAGTCTGATGGTTTGTGGAATTCACAGTCCGGATCTGTCCGGTCTATCCACTCAACAACCACCTGGTGGATGAGACCACACATTAGAGCAAACGCATGAAAGATAAAACATGTAGCCAAGAGCTCGATACATCATGAAATCATCATAAAATCATCCAAATCCGACGTGCTGGATGGCTGGGCAGGGCTGGTGTTCGGCTCGGAGACGAGCTGATTCGCATTGATTCGCTCTGGCGAACCGCGTTTAGGACCGGTGGACACCCGGTGGCGTTCTCCGCGTTTCGGACACTGCGCGGCGCGGACACTGCGCGTTGAGGACCGGAGCTTGGACAAGGTTCAGCTTCCAGGTGCGGTCGGCTGGGTGTCTCGGGTGGGGATTCCGCGCATGCGAAGGTGACCGGGCTGGGTGAGTCGACAGAGATGAGATCCAAAGGCATGTGTGAGATGTCTAGCTGTTCGAGTTGTTCGATCTGATTCTGTGATATTCAGCAGACAAGACCATGAAACAACTCGACTGACATTGTTTGTAGCGTCATGAAGTTCTCTCGACTCGAGGGGGCGACTGACATTGTTTGGTCGACGACGGGCGGACATGGATGTTCGGCTGACCAATCCCCAGACACGACTAATGGGGCTGCCATAGGACTGCCGCCCCATTGACCCCTTTTTCAACCACCCTGGCCTGATCGGCAGTCCTATGGCAGTCCCAGACGGGTCGTGTCTGGGATCATTTTTGACCTGGTCAGCGACTCCCTTTCTTTGACCCCTCGACGTTCGCACCACTCGACTCAGCGAGAGTTGCCTGGAGGTGGTGTGCTTTCGGCGGTGAACCGGTTCTTAGGAGATTTGCGTCGGGGCACCTTCATCACATTTCGCCCCCTCTGGTCGAACGCAGGAGAGCTGAAGATGTTGGTTTTGGGCTGCGGATTCCACCAAAGCTTGAAAGAGGCGGGTTGCGGTTTGGAGTTCATTTTTGTTTGCTGCACAAAGGAGGAAGCTGGGAAGCTGGGCAGGTTTCTTTAAGCGACTGCTCCATGGAGGGTCGAAATCCAACGGTTTCATCCAGGATTCGCTGCAACTCCACCGGTGTTCGCTGCAACCGGTGGGGGACTGATGTTCCATGATCCGCCCATGACCACGTGATGCGGAATTGGTTGCTGTACACAGCTGACCTTTCCATCCACAGGCATAGAACTCAGTTGGAAAGGCGATCTTTTAGGATGGTGGGTCCTTCATTTCAGATCAGGAACCTCATCCCATGAACCTGCCTTCTGCTCACCTTTCGCATCGAACCGGGATGTTTTCAAACAAAAATCATGAAGCCGGCCGCCGCCCCAACTCCCGCACCCACGAGGTCCCCCCCCCGGCAGTGGAAACCAAACGCCCGGGCGGACGCTCGTACCGCGGCATAGACCTCCGACCGTGCGAAGACCCGTTCGATGGGATGGCCATGCGCCGCGCCGTTCTCCGCGCCGGATCGCGTTGATCCGCAGGTGTCGTTTCCGCCGCGCTTGGAGACGCTGATCTGCGAGAACCCGGAGGTCCTGCGAGACGCGTGCCTCTCCGAACACCTGCAACACCTGAGCTCGGGCGGACTGGTGGTGCAAGGAGTCTTGAGCTGAGGCGGAAGAAAAAGAAGGGGTCCGCATCCGGGTTCTGGGTGGATCGAAGTCTGATGAGTTTCATGTCATTTGGGTGATCGACATGCGAGACGACAACCCATCCAATGACTTCTGGAGGTTTCTGATTTTCCAGCTGACGACGCAACGTGTGCACACTGTTTTTGCTACCATGGACCATCAATAGGGTTAACCCCCTCTAGTGGTCGGCAAATACAGTAGACACACCACCCAAAGACAGGTTCTCGTTCTCATCATGCCTCATCTCCAAATCACTCCTATTCCCAGATGTTCTCAGCATATTAATCATTTATTTACCAATTATTTACCATTATTTACCCTTGCATGGTGCCAAACCAACTCTTCCATCCGCCAATTCACCACCGGAAATGACTCGCCCCCCGCTCCGCCAACCGCTCGGCTCCACCACCCCGCCCCACCAAGGCCCGAGGCGCCAACCGAGGCGCCAGACTCGTGGTGGAGTCTTCAAGCAAGAGAGGTAGAACGAGGGTCACACACCAACCGCGAGCAGCTCTTCGACCCCAAAAGTCATGGTGATAGTAAATGCTTTTTCATGAAGATCCTGGAGCAGCATCGATTCCCTGCGTCCCGGTGGGGGGACTGGTCGCAGGCGAGTCCCGGAGGCGGGTGCCGCCCGAGGTGCGGTCGGGTCCGAAGGGATTCTGGCAGAGAAAGTGCGGATGGAACGGATCTGGAGGATTCAAGCATGTTCTTGGGATTCTGGAGTGGCCCAAGAAACATACACTCATATACTCTCAGAATCCGGTCTTGGGACATGTTTTGGCCGGGTGTGCTTTGGGAGCCGCTTGGCGCAGGAGAAGGGCTTGCTGAAGACGCAATGCTTCTTCGAGGCGACCGAGTGTGCGCCGACGTGCGGGGGCGGCGGACCGGGTGTGACTCCGGGCTGACCTGGGCTCAGCTTCCACCTTTTCTGACAACTGGGTGTGTATGGGTGTGTATTTATCAAAGACCAAAGACCAAAGCCAATGGGTGGGGGATGGAGGGGGTATCCCTATTAAAATACACGCCCAGGATTTCTTCACTGAGGATGGACATAGCCGGCCGACTATGGGCAATTTTATGCAATTTTTGTTGCGCACTGTTTTTGTTGTATTTGGCATGTGCCTGAAGGCAACCAGCGTGAACATTCCCAGCCACAGGTTGCTAGAATCTTCACCCAATTGGTACCGAGAAAACACGGCGCCACTTCGGAACACTCCATGACATGTTCCTGCGCTTTCATGCGAAGGAGAAGGACTTGGTCATCAAGCTCTACGACACCGAGGCTGCAAACTGCTATGCATTGCTATGCACATTTCGCACCATTTGCTTTGGAAGGAGGACCTGGATTTTGGAAGGTGTGCACAGTTCGTTGGACGGTCAACTCCATAATATTGAGGTGAAAACAGTCAGCCAGATGACCATGAGTCAGCCTTTCATCCATCTTCCTGTCAGATGCGGCGTCCCATCCGTCCCAATTCGCCTCAAGCCGTCTTTTGGACGGCCAGGTGCTGGTGATCAAGGAGCGGGTGGCCGTGATGGCGACGGCGAGAACGAGCGGACGGCGCCCAGTGAGTCGGGTCGGGGCCCGGACGAAGCAATTTCAGATCCTTCGACCAGCGCCCGACTTCACAGGTCACGAAACCTGAGGGTTCGGGCCCCGAAACCGTAACCCTCCAGTTCGGAGACCTGTAGAGTCGGGTGCTGGTAACGTTAAGATGGTTGATAAATAGCTCCCCAGTATCCAGACTTGACGGGCGAGATGGTGAGAGAAATGCCTCCAGGCCAACCCGCCAAACCCCCAAACCCGCCAAACCAGACCCTCTCTCAGACCCCGACCTCTCCACATCGAACTCCGGAGGTGGCCGCGCGCGCCACCCACGCGGAGTGGCCGCGCGTCGCCGGGGGGTCGTCGTCGTCTCCCCGCCGAAGGAGAAGACGACGAAGGACGACGACGACGGGTCCGGGGGCCCCGGTTTTCCCGCGGACGCCCCGGGCGCGGCGCGGGAACGGCACCACGAGGCGCGGGCAGAAGCGATTGGTCCGGTGACGTGGATGGGTCCCATCTTCGGAGCGTGTTGCAGTCTCCCCCCGGTTTCGGCGGCCGACAGGTCAGAACCTGGCCTGCCGACCAGTGACAAGTGGTTTCGTGCTGGCGTTTCTGAAACGGCCTGGCTATTTTGTTTTAGGTTTTCTAGATTGGTGCGTTGTTTTTCTTTCAGTTTTATGTGTGTCCAATGTTTTCAATCATATTTGTTTCCTAATTTTGGTCCTATGATGTCCTATGTGTTTTCTTATGATTTTCAATGGGGATTGGAATTGGTTGGGTACCCAGAAGAGCGATATTTTTTATCCAACTTTTGTTGATTAAGATGGAGGCTTGTATATAAGTAGAAACCAGAACATATTTAGAACACACATATATATATATATATGTTTTTTTGCAAGTCGATTCTATAGAGGTGTTGTAGTGATGGTGAGGTGGATCTTTCATGTTTGTTTGTCACGGACAGCAATTCTAAAGAGATGAATCCCACCCAAACTCCCTCCAGATCCTTTCACTACATATCCCTGGGGGGAAATACAGGGGAACACCCCACACTTCCCCAGTGGATGACAGTGGATGGTATATATGGGGATGGTGGGAGGTCTTTCCTTTATGGGGTTGTAGCCTTCAATTTTATGGATAATGACAATCTTATTTGGATGTAAGGAGCTCCAATTCTATAGAACTTGAACAACATTTTCCAATATTCACAATGATGTTCCGAAACAATTTTGGGCTGCTAATAGCCTCTTCCTCCACTCGACATCAGTTGACCTTCTATAAATTCACAGTCCCTGGTATCCTTGTCTTCACTATAAATTTGGGTCCTTCCAACAGGCTCAACAGGTGAGTCGATGCCTTCCTGGACAGGGATCTTTTGATGTTTGGCTCCAGTGCCCCATATTCTATAGAGACTCATGTTTTTACTCTAACAAAACACCTGTTCGACAGTATCTCAGGACCAGCATTTTATCTTCGACTCATTTTTGCCCGATAAATTCGCTACCCCCGACCCACCCGTCACTTAATTCCAATGGGGGCTTCTTTTCATCTATAATTTTGTTGTTTTGCATTTTCCAACGCCAAGCTTCATTCAGTTCAACACAAAAGCAACTGTAAGTGATCGCCACACCCAGTTCGATGTGACGGGGCTGAGGCCTGGGGGCTGGGCTGGGCGGGCTTATTGGACTGGCGGTCGTGGTCCGTGTTACGAAGCGTTGGTCGTGGTTCCCTCTTTTCGTTCTGGACTCCGAGCCATGAGTTCTCCCCTGCAACTCTCGAGCCATGAGTTGCACCTGAACGAGCTACTGAACGCGTTGACGGGTCGAACCCTGCAAGAGGCGGAATCCCATGGGCGACCCTGTCGGGGTCCTGTCTGGATGACCCTGCAATTCTCGCGCTTCGGACGCGACGGTCGGAGGGTCCTGGCCTCGTCCGGCGGCGGCCCAGGTCCGAAACGCAAAGCCTGGTGCCGCGCTCAGAGCGGGTTGGGTGGCGATGGGAGTGAGCTGGAAGGGGGCCAGGAGTCAAAGAACTGGCCATATGGATCTAGAACCTGAGGGTTCCCAAGTCTGATTTTTCTGAGGCCACCTGCAACTGTTGAGGCCACCAGGAGATGCCAGGAGTTCCCGCCGTGGAACGACGCGCCCTTCCGCCGTGGAAACGACGAGGTCTTGGAGCTGACCAGCGGCGGCTTCCGGACGGCTGAGACCAAGGCCATCCTCAACGAGGCCGGATGGGTGCGGGGCGGGGGCGGGCGTAAGAGACGTGGAGAAAGCTTGAGAAACCTAGCGCCCAATGTGTTATATTTTTTTGCCAGTTGGTGTGAGAAGGTGTTGGATGCAGCTGTTGGTGAGTTGTGGGGTGTTGTACCCACAGAGAGGAAAAGGTTCGCTGCAACTCATCGCGAAAGGTCGCCTGGCAAAGGGCTAACCTTAGGCTTTGCAACCTGTTCCGGGACCAACCAGTGAACTATCAATTCTATGACCCGCCCCCTCCCCCCTTTAGTGATTCTTCATTTCTTTGGGGGTCCGGTCTATCCGTGGCTTGGACTGCTGTGGCCTATATGGCCTATGTGGCGTTTGGCAGAAGTAGTGCTGGTGGTCGTCTTGCTGGTGCCAAAGCAGTGGTAGTCGTGCTAGTATTACCAGTGGGCTTTCTTGTTGCGCCAGTGGGTCCGGGTCCGCGGGGTCGGTCCAGCGGGGGTCGTAGTGGTAGTAGTGAGATGTAGTGAGACCGAGGCGGCTCTGTAGTGAGACCGAGTTCCTGCGTAGTTCCCGCGTCAACCTGAAAATGGTGCAATGGTTGCTCGAGCGTGGAGCTCGCAGCAATCAGGATGAACACAGTCAAGGCATGTGCGACATGAAGCTATACCACACACTAATCAAGGACGAAGCCAAGAAGTGGACCCTCGTAAGTCATTAAGAAACGTTTAGACGCATTGTTTACAAAACAATAGTAAATGTTTCAATGATTGACAATCGATCTTCCTGATTCCTTGTCTTCCACCTTTTTTTTGCGCTAAGAGATATCAGTCAAACATGATGTGATCCATTGCCACCGAAGGGTAATTGATGATGACAATGCATGATCTTTATGCTGTTTCATGTAAAATTTTCATCTTGATAGTCCTGGTTTTCTTGCTCTTGACAGTGAAGGGCTTAGACATCTAGGGGTTGAAGATTCAACTTTTTGTCGTGCAGCCACCAAGGAAATTCCATGGGGATTGTCAATGCAAGTACACTTAGAGTCCAGGCTGTTGGACAGACTCACACTGTCAAGATGCCGCATTATCTGACATTTGTTTGCATTCACCAGATTCTGCCACCAAATCAAAATTGGGATGGTGCAACTCCCATGCTTTTTGGATTCGCACCAATCAAGGAACCCTTTGGGTGTTTCTTTCACCTCAACATACCTCAACTGTTGCGACGATGTTTCCGACCCTTTGCGATGCCGCGGCTTCCTGGCCCTGATCCTCGTCCAGGCATTGAAGCCGATGGCGCTGCAGGTGGAGAGTGAAAATGGCGCTACCTGGCAGCTGCGGAGCGAGTACAAGACCCCGGGCCAGGTGTGGACGGATTTTCCTCGCAAGCGAGCAACCTTGGGGTCGTGGGGATGAGGAAATCAACACTTTTGGGCGAAGGAAAACTGCCACCTGGCTGTTTTGACCGACCTGGCTCCGACCCTACTAGTTTATAGCAGTAGAGTATAGTGTACGATTCCGCGGTTCCTTCAAGGAATCTGACCCACACCTGTTGATGTGGCTGTTCCGCAGATCGCCACGCCACGAAACGCACGACAACACGCGGAACACACCATGCAAACCATTTGAAAACGAAGGGGCCATACGGCATAGTCATGTCTTTCGACCCATTTGACACACTTCACAATGTGACTCCCAGGGGGATCGACCCCACGCGTAGACCCAGATCGACCCCCCTGCGTGGACCATGCTTACGGCAAGGGAGCACTGGTCCGGGTGGGGACAACGGACCAACCCGACGTTCCGGTCCTGGAACAGGTGACCACCGACTCCTCCTTGCAGCCGTTTGAGGACGGAATGGCTGGATCGGCACCTATTGGCTTCTTCCGCGGGGTGGAAAACTACCTGGGTTTGGTCGGACGCGCAGGGAGCGTCGTGCAAGAAGCACCCACGGGGTGGCCCCAGAAGCGCGGTGGATCTCGCCGAGGGACTCCCAAGATCAACGGAACCAGCGAAGAGACGGAAGATGGAGACTCGACTCTCATCGCATGCGGGTGGGTCATGTAAACCACCAGTCTTGGAAGGTGTATGTCCTTCCCACCGGAAAATCAGTACGAACAGTGAAGGGTTGTCTACGTTTTGTTGTGACAAGTCTTCCGTTCTCCTCACTTTTGGCCAGATCCAACTGCTTGTGGCCGGCTCCCCCTTCAGTGGCTGTGCTCCTGTTGGGTTCAGGATGGGATGGCGGTCACCGTGCCAGCAGTGGTGTCACTGCAGATGGTGAAGGAGAAGTTGGCGCGGGCCCCAGGGTGGTGCCGCTGGACTGGAGGATGGGTCGATTTACGGCAACAGGAAGTCATGAAGTGCCATGTCAAGAAACATCATGTGACATGAAGTGACATGAAGAAACATCAAGTCATGAAACATCAAGTCATGAAGTGACATGAAGTGCCAAGTTTTGAGATGCTCATCTAATAGCGATGGCCTCCAACCTAAGAGCGAAGTGCCATGCGGTATGCAGAAATACCATGAAATACAACGAACGGTATGTTGTTCCCCATGTTGGGTGGCAGACGGACGATGATGGACGCACCATCACTGTGGTTGGGGGTGGGGCGTTCATGTCACAGAGCAACACATGGGGGTCTTGTAAAGACATCTAAAGACCATCAGATGGGTGTGTATTTGAACAGGGAGGGGACTTCCCCAAAAACTCCCTCAGAAATACACATCCATATAGGCCCACGCCACTGTGCCACGCCACTTCACGGTCCACCCTTCCACCGCTTCGGAGGACTCCAAGCGCTCGGCGGCGCAGAGCTCGGCCGACGAGCGGCGGCGCGCCGAGCGGCGCGCCGAGCGGAGCTTCGGTCCGGCCGCAGGCGGCGGAGCGGCGGTGGCGGAGCGCGGGACACCAGATTCCTTTGTTGAGAGCCGAGAGCATCCATGGTCATGAGGTGGAAGGTATATATATGAAGGTATGCCAAATATGGTTTTTCCCTATTGAGATCCTTTTCTTGAGACTTTTCGCCTGGGCGTCGTTTCCTTTTTACGTAAATCCTAAATCCGTGGAAACGTATGGAACTCTTATAAATCGTCACAAGGGTCAACCCCCTCAGCCCTTTTGGGACTTGCACTCCAACAAACCTGCGGTGCCAGTCCTCAGAACCGAGCAACCCTTCGAAATCGTCAGCAGAACCTGGGGTTTCTTTCGCACGGTCGACCTGGGTCACTGCTTTGGTTTTCGGCCTCCGTGGGTGGAGCCCGAAAACAAGCGCCCTTTAGGACTCTCAGCAAACACAGATGACTGCACCAGGACCCTCCTGTCGGGGTGTCTATTTATAGTCCCTTAGTTGTTAAGGGATGTCCATTAACCACCCCGACTGGGCGTCCTGGCGCACATGGATTTTGATAGGCAAGGCTCCCACGCCACGCTCGGCAGGTCCCTGGCTCCACGGTGCGCCAGGCGCGGGGGGTCCGTGATGGAGTCCGTGGGGTGCCGAAGAGGAGGAAGAGGAGGAAGTCGAGGTGCCCCACGAATTCGCATGGGTGTGGATGGAAAAACAAAGGGAGACGCTGAGACACCCAACCAATGGGGTTTTTGGTCTTTCTTGTTTCGCACGTGCATCACATGCAATGGCTACCCTCTGCTCAGCGTAAGGTAGACATACTAGAATTAAAATCCTCAACCTGCGCAAGTGGTATGAAATCTATGTAGATGATGCAACCCCGCCGACTCGTCCCATTGAAAGGACGCCAGGAGGTGTTGAGGTAGGTGGACCTACGACCCTGGTGGAAAGAATCCCACAGGCTACATGTGGGCCGAACCGTGGGGGACAATGAACTGTCCAACATACGAGGTCGCACTATCCAAGGCGACGAAGTCC